AGCTGATCATTCCCCTCTGCTGGATTTGCAGGTGCCTGGAGTGTTGGCAGTGGGCTGTCAGGGTGCAGAGCGGGTCCCCCCATCCCAGCAGGAAAAAAACCCTTTAAAATTCGAATTGCCATTAAAATTACAAAAGAAAACACCAACTATTTCGGGATTCACATGGAAATGGCAACATATGCTAAACGTTAAACATCAGCCCCTACCAAAAGTAGAGCTATTCTGGGCCCATCCTGAAGCTGCAGGGAGAGCTGATGCCTCCCTCCCTCCTCCTGGAAGCTCCTTTCCTTTTGCAGGTAGCAAAATGCTGGCCAGGAAGATTCCATCCACCTTTGCCACTGGCTGGGTGTTTCATCGAGTCTCTGGGAACATTAAAAGGGATATTTTGAGGGGAGAGGGCTCTTCCCTGCTGGCATTTGGCCCTTGCCTGGCTTTCTGCAAGGATTTGTTTGTGTCTGCGTCATAATAGGACGTGGGTTGTATTCCACCACAGCGGTTTTGTTCACAGCTAGTAATTGCTGGTTAAATCTGGTCAAATAATGGTTGTTAGCAGGGCCTGTTGGAGCACAGATAACCTCAGATATTATCCAAGCAGAGGAGCAGTGGGGGCCGGGGTGCACTGGGATATCAGCACTGGAGGAGCCGTAATCGGCACAGCCTGGAATAAGCTCCTTAGGATTATTTTTGCCAAGTTTCCCAGTTATCATCATCATTATTATTATTATTATGGCTTTACTTAGCAAATGCAAAGGCTGTTTGACCAGGTAAGGAGTGCAATCCAGTGGATGGGCTCAGCCAAGCCTCCCCAGCCATGGAGGGCAGGGATCTTTGAGGGGAAGCTGCCAGGAGCTGTGAGTCAGCCAGGAGACAGAGCCCTGAGCCAGCCAAGGAGCCAGGCACATGTTGCTTTTCAATTAACCCCCTTCCCATGCACACAGCCCTGCTGGAGCTAAGCTCATTGGAAGAAATAAAAAATATGTTTCATACCTCCCAGCCAGGGGAACTGAAGGCAGGGTCAGTCCTGAGTTACCCCGGAGGGATGGAGGGGGCTCCCCCAGCAGTGTTGGTGTCCCCCAGTCCTGCCCCTGCAGCCAGATTGAGCTGCTGGCACCCTCTCCTGCCTACAGCTATGGGTATTTTCAGGCTTAAAAGTGGTTGGGAAAAACAAAATTCCAGCTAGGAATTTTGCAGTGCAGGCTGGTGCTGCCTGTGTCGCCTCCCTGGGGACACTGACAAACCTCCCTGTCCCACCCCTCCGAGTTCAAGGATGACATCCAGGGGTAGTGAAGGCTTCAATTTGGCATCATCTCTTTGTACTCCCTCCAGACATTTCCCCAGCAGCACCAGCAGAGCAGGGGGTTCAGAGAGATTTTGAGTTGACAAAGAAATAACAAAGAACCAGTGGGTCAATCACTGAATGCCTGGCAATGGGATGTGCCATCCTGCTGCTGTGCTTTCCATTTGGAAAGGAATTGATCAAACTGGAATCAGCCTCTGCTCTCATCGATTTAAACCTGGAACAGCAGAACTTGGTGCTCAGTATCTGTAAGGAAATTGGTTGAAGTGTGTCCTGAGGACAGCCTGTGTTTTCAGGTGCGTGTTTAATCCATGTGCTGCAGTTTTGGGGGCTTTTGTAGGAATTTTCCTTCTGTTTGCCCATTTGCAGGGCAGTTCCAGAGGAGGAATCTGGGCTGTGGCACACAGAGGGAGTCCCACAGGCTTTTTCTGGATGTACTTAAACCCGTGCTTGTGCCCCTGTTCAGGACAACATTTAAAGTAAAACCTTGGTGCTTTTGGAGCCTGGGCTGGAGTCAGAGTGACAGCTCCTACATCCCACATCCCAGGTACAACGTCACGGGTGCTGAGCTCAGGATCTTGTTTTCTTGGGAGAAAACATGGATTTTGACAGGGACAATTGCTCTTCCCCCTCATCCCATCCCTGCTTTGATGCTGGCTCTGTGATGGCCACCTCCCCTTTCCTACAGGGGTGGATATTCCCTGACAGAGTGGCTTTGCTTCCTGCCATGCAGAGCTACGGGTTTCAATTGGCACTTTAACATTTAAACTCTCTCTCTTCCTTCCTGGGGGGCTGGTGGGGAAGCCAAATTCCCCCTTTCAGGGCAGCAGAGGCCACGTGCGTGGGCAGAGCAGCAGAGCCAGGGATCAAATCAAGTCACATTCCAGGGCATTAGACAGACGGTGGGAATTAAGAGCTTTACCTGGAAACTGGCTTTGTATCTGCAAGCCCTGCTTTTGTCTTCCTGCCCAACTTTCTAATTTTATCCCTTTTGCCTTCTGTGTTGTCGTGTGTGACACATTTGGGGAGCCCTTGGTAAGTGTGGGGCTGTGCAGCCCAGGAGGAAACACTCAGGCAGCAAGGGAAGGTAGGAAAAGTGTGGTTTATCAAAACCAAGCTGCTCTGGGACTCATTAAGAGCTAAGAAAAGGCTCCAGCTGCTTTCTGTAGGTTTGGGATGGAGCAGGGACTTCAAAGTCCCATCTGGGCTGTTAGCAGTGAGTGTTGGTTTTGGTTTTTCTTGGTCTATAAGGCTGGTGATGGGAGCCACCCCTGCCCTGCTTCAGGGAGTTTGTCTGCTTCAATTCTGCCTTTTTTTGTCCCCTTGTTGCTCTTCTGAATCCCTGGGTGAGCTGAGCATCTCTCAGTGGGTGCTGCTGGGCCCTGATCCCGGTTGTGGGCTCTGGATGCAGCAGGAAGAAGAGCTCAGAGGTTCACCTTAATTCCCAGAGCCTTGATTTTTCTGTCCTGTAAAACAATCTTTGCCTATTTGGGTCTTGTGCTCTCTGAGGAAACATTTGGAATGATGATGCTTTTGTAATGGTAGTAACGGCATTAAGCTCTCACGCATAACTTGATTTTATTTATTTATTTATTTATTTGCCCTTTCTCAGAGGAAATTGCTGCTATTTTCTGGGCATCAGGCCCAATTTCTGCTTCGTTCTGTCTGAGTCCACACCACATCCTGGATGCTGCACCCAAAGATGGAGCCTGTGTGGATGAGCACGCTCAAATCTGGAGGTACCTCCTTGTGCTTGCTGTGATATTTCCACCCAGCGTCAACCCACCTGCGAGATTTTCAGCCTCCACGTGCAGAGCAGGTGGCATTTCCATCTGAATTCATGTCCTGGAAGTCCTTGTGTATGGGAAGGGGATAAAACTGTTTGAGGCTGGATCTGCTGTTAGACCTGCAACAGGCAGGAGCCACCCCGGAGTGAAAATATGGCAGGGACACAAAGGAGCAGTGAGCTGTCTCCTGTTCTCCCAGGTCATTAGATCATCCTCTGATGTGCTTCATGTCTAGGTACAGAGCAGTGACAAGTTTGGATGCTTCAGGGAAGAAACATTCACTTCCCTGTGAGGAGTAAATTAGGTTCGTTTGCCTGGTGTCAGTATGTTATGACTCAAAGTCGTGCATTAACATTTACCAAAATCTGAATGAAAACTGAACTCTGCTGCAGACAGAAGCCTTGGGTGTCATTTTGTTGGGATTTGGGGGAAATCCTCTGAAGAACAGAGCTTTGTTTTTAATAGTCACCTGCGTGCCAGGCTGCAGAGACTGCAGCTGTGTGTGCATCGCTAAGGGATGTGCCAGGTTACCTGGTGGGCCTGGCTGTGGGCAGCTGGGCACGGTGGTGGGTGACCAGAGCATGCCAAGTGTCCCAGCCTCACACCAGACACCCTCCAGAGCTGAGCCAGCAGAGCTGGCTGTGCTCCTCTGAAATACTTGACACGTTTTCCTGGGCAGGGTGAGTTACTTGGGCAGGATTTTGCATCATTTTCTCACAGGGCTTCTTTTCTGGCACTCCTTGCTGAAAAGTCCACTTCCAGTAGCTTGTGAAGCCACAGATTTATTGATTTGGACACAGGGGGAAGTGAGTAAAAACAGTTTGAGACCAACTCCCTGAGCAAAGCACAGCTCAGCATTTTCCAGGGAGCCTGTGGCAGGAGTCTGTCCCTGTCCTGGCTGGTGCTGGGGCCCTGGCCATGCCCAGGAATGAACAGGAGGGGTGCTGAGCATGGCCACAGTGGCACTGAGCCCTGGCCCAGCCTGTCCCTTGCTCCTGTGTGATGCTGTGATGCTGTACCAGCCCCATGGCACAGCCACTCACCAGCTGGCAAAGGCTGTGCCACCCTGGCCACGAGCAGGCCACTTGTGTTGCTTCAGTCCCTGGTGTGTTCCCAGTTCCAGAAGCTCGTGCTGAGCTCTGGAGGGGACATTGCTGTGAGCTGGGCCAGCAGGATCCGAGTCGGGGCTGTCCCTGTGAGTGGGCAGTGATGCCACCCATGCCCTGGCTCAGGATGTGGCACAGCGTCTCCCTGCGGTGATCTGGGAGGGCAGGGGGGCTGCCAGGGTCCCTGGGGGCTGTCCCGGGGGGCTGTCAGGGTCCCTGGGGGTTGGCACAGTCCCCTCCACATCGCTACACAACAGGAGGATGGCTCCTGACCCTGCCCGGTGACCTCAGTCCCCCGGAGGGGTCTGGCAGGGACCAGCCCTGCTTTGACAGGGACATGGATCCAAGCCCACCTCCCCATTCCCCATCACCCCAACTTGTGCCGGCTGCCCCCGCGGCTGCGGGGCCGTGCTGGGGAAGGGGCTGGCAAGCTGGCTGCCCACGCTGGTGGCCGTGTGGCCAGGCCGGCCACAGCCCTCATTCCTCCGCTGCTTTGGTACCGCTTTGTTGCTAGCTGGTGACATCACCCGAGAGCCCACCCCCTGCCTCTTATCCGTCTCTGTGTCTCGCTCATTTATTCCCAGGCAGCGCTGGCAGGATCAGGGGCTGTGCGAGCGCCAGGGCTGGCAGCAGCAGCATGCGTGCGGCCACCGAGGCTCAGGGCGCGACAACCACCTAAGGGACCGGCCCGAGCCTCCCTGCCCAGCTGCCTCCGCATCCCCCCGGCTGAAACTTCCCTCTCCTGACTGACACCCGCACGGTCCGGGCTTCTCCGGGCTCGGGGGGAGCTTGGCAGCGACAGCCGCATGCATGACACTCCGAAAAGGAGAGAAAATGACCATAAGTATCCAGGAGCACATGGCCATTGACGTCTGCCCCGGCCCCATCAAACCCATCAAGCAGATCTCCGACTATTTCCCCCGCTTCCCCCGCGGGCTCCCCGCCGCCGTCGGCCGCAGCAGCAGCGCCCTGCGCCCCGCTCTCAGCCAGCCCTCGGTCAGCCCCAGCGAGGCACCCCGGGAGGATGAGGAGGATGTGGACCAGCTCTTCGGAGCGCACGGAACGACGCCCGCGGAGCAGCCGGCCAAGAGCCAAGCGCCCGAGGAGCTGGTGGACCCCGAGGGCTACGAGTCCGATGATTGCAGTGAGTTGTTAAGTTTCCATGGGAGTTTGCGGGGTGCTGGGGGCGAGGGTGGGTGTTAGGGCTGGTTGCCCATCTTGGGGCAGCCTTGCAGCGATGCTGGGATCACGCTGCAGCCGTGAGAAGCCCCCAGGTGTAGCCGGGGAGGCTCTCCCGGGGTGCAGGGGGGCCCTGGGAGTGTCCGTGCCGCAGCCAGGCTGGCTGCTGAACCCGAAGTAGGGAAGTCTCCCAAGAGCCACCAGTTGCTGTCGTGGTCGGTGCACTTCTCTGCCTCGTCCCTGCTCGTGCCTCCAGCCCTCCGGCTGGGCTCAGACCCCTTTAATCCGGCTCGGTGGTGGCAGGCTGCTCCAGCCACCCTGCTGATGAGCTGGCGATAAGGCTCCAGCATCGCCCGGCTCCACAGCGGGGAGATTTGTCGGGAATGACATCCTGCCCTCTCTCTCGGCAAACTCCGGCGTGCCATCCCTCCATTCCTCACGGCCGGCTGCAGGCAGAGCCCTGCAGGAGACCAGGGGGGCCTTTGGAGCAGAAGGCTTTGGTTGTGGTGGTTGCAGGTGTTTGCAGCGAGGGTTAACCCCTCCCCACCCAAAACGTCCTTCCCACCCGGCGCCGTGGAGCTGCAAGGCAGCTGCTGCGTGGCTCTGCCACGGCCACCGGGATAACCCGGTTTTCTTGGAGTTAGAGACACCCCAAGGGCTCCATTCAGCCCAGCCTTCGGTGGCCAGATCCTGCGAGGGGCTGAGCACAAAGTTTGGAGCCGGGAGATGCTGAGGAGAAGGGAGTGGGAGCTGCTGAGCGCTGCTGCGTGCTCGTCCTGGGGGGAGGGAAGGGAAAGGGAGGCTGAGCTGGTCAGGGCCCAGCGCCGGCCAGGCTGTGGCTTCCTTTCCCTTTGCAGAATGTCACAGCCCTGCCTCGCCATCGCTGCCGGCCACTGGGCTGCTGCCGTTTATTCCACAGCCCGGGGTGTGACCCCAAGGAGGGCTCCCCAGGGGCTGCGCTGCTGCAGGGTGGCACCGCTGTCCCTGTGTCAGAGGCTGGTGCTGGGTGCCAGCCCCAAACTGGCACACCCTCCCTGGCCGTGCCGCTGCCGGGGTCACGCTGTCCGTGCAGAGGCGACAGCTCTGGCACTGCCAGGGAGAACATCTCTGCTAAGCCGCGTTTGTCCCAGCCGGGCAGTTAACGGGGACTTTAACCGGCTTTGGCTCATTTGCTGCTCTAATTATCCCCTCGTCTTTGCTCACCGTGGCAGGAGAAACGGGAGCAGCCGGGCTGCAGGGCCAGGGGGGTGTGTGAGACCCAAAGCACCCGGGGCTCCAGAGTGCAGCGTTTTCTCTGGGTGACTTGCATGGAAATTGCCCAGGGCGCTGCATTCTGCATTTATCCGTCGGCAATGCTGGATCCTGGATGCTGGATCCTGGATGCTGGAAGCAGCTTGGCTCCGTGCCGGGGCCGGCGGGTGTTTCTCTCACCCAGGCTGGTGTTAGGAAGTGTTTCTTGCAGCGTAACAGGTGTCAGGCAAAACTGCTGAGGCTGTTTTGCCAGAGGTGTGGTGGGGTTTTGGCTGGCAAAACAGCGGTGCCAGGAGCAGAGCAGGGAGGTGGCAGTGCTGGTGTCACATCTCTGGGGACAGCACGGGGTGGCCCAGACACCCTGAGGACACTGGCTGGCATCAGTGTGCACGATGAGACTGTCACTCCCCCATGGTTAGCAGCCAAGTTGTAAATCAGAGCTGCCTGTACCCATTCCCCAGGCTGGGAGCAGGGAGGGAATCCGTGCAGCCTGGCTCCAGCCATCAGCTACGCTGGGGAGCGTGGTTGAGCTCCCCCACTTCTCTGGAGGGTGATTCAGGGCTGCTGCATTAGTCACCTGCACTAAATGTCCCCTGGAGAACCTGTCTGTGCCTGCACGTCAGGACAGCACCGGGGTTTCGGTGCTGGCAGTCCCCTTGGGTGGCACACGGGGTTCAGGGGGCTCAGGAGGTCTCTGGGGATGGGGGTGTCAGAGTCTGGGTGCAGCACCCACAAATCGAGGCTTTGCCAGGCACATCTTGCCTCACTCCTCAGAGCTGCTCCTCAGAGAGGTGCAGGGAGAGGGATTGTGCTGTGGCAGGATCCATCGGGAGGAAGAGGAGGAGGAGGAGGAGGAGAATTGAACGGCTCCCTCCTGTTTGTCCCACCTGCCTGTAGGTTTCCCTCTCCGACGCCAAGGCGATGCTGCTGGCTGGCTGGGTGGGAGGAGGAGAGCTGCCCCTGCCTGGAGAAATGCAGCAATTGTCTGGGTTTCCCCGAGCTCCTTCCTGCCTGGAGTTACTGCTCCAGCCTGGGAGTTCTGGCGTTTTTCCAGCAGGACCTGAGCTGCCATCCCAGCCCGAATTCCAGAACCCCAGCAGGGCTGTGAGGAGTGGGCAGGGTAGGTCCTTCCTGGCCCTGCTGCAGCTCACCCTGTTCCTTAATCGTTTGCTGAATCGTGTTCCAGACCCCACCAGCAAAGCTTGTAGTGTCTGTGGAGCTGCTGGGAGCTGCAGTGTCTGCTCCCATCCAAGCAGGGTGGTCTGACCCCGGTTTGGCACCTGCAGGGAGCAGGGATGTGGCAGGGGGGATGTGAGTACATGGAATTGGTGCTTTGGAAGACTGAGAACCCCCAGCCTGTGGGAGGCAGGTGGAATCCTCCCAGAGATGGGCAGGGACCTGGCTGAGGTGGGGGGGACAGGTGGGGGCCGCCATGGGAGGCTCAGGTTTGTGGTTCTGGACACCAGCAGCCTGTTGAATGCAGCGAGTGGCAGAGAGCAGGCAGGGCCAGGGAACCAACACAGCAGAAAATGAGTGGAGACATCTGGGCTGGCTCTGGGATCGCTGGGAATTGCATGGAGCCAGCTCTTCCCATCAGACCTGCCAGCAGTGCTGCTGTGAGGATTTGCAGGGTTGTGGTGGGCACTTCTGCCATCCCAGGGCCCTTGGGACACCCTGGCAGAGGGATTCATCAGTGCCCTGTGCTGGACAAAGCAGGACTCTTCCTGAAGAGGGTTTGTCCCCAACAGAACTGCTGAGGAGGTGGAAGGAATGAGGCAGGAGAAGTGGGAAATGTGTATTTGATGCAGAAGGATGGTTTGGTGCTGTTGGATCAGCGTCAGCTGTGAGCTGAGAGGACCAGGCAGGAGGCTGGGAAGGGGGAATTTGCTCCTGCTGCCTCGAGACACCTGGTGACTGTCACCTCACCTTTGGCTCCTCTGGCTGGTGCCCTGTGACAGCAGCAGGTCCCTAGAGATGCTTCCCACCCAGTCGGGCAGCACAGTGCCAGGGAAACTTGGTTTGCAAGGAAAAGAAGCAAATGCCAGCTAGATGGCAATGTGCCACCTGCGAGGAGCTGCCTCTCGCCTCCCATCTCCACCGACTGCACCCAAATGCTGCTGCCCCTCCACTGCCTGCACCTTCCCCTCCACAGCACCACCAGGAATTCGTACCTGAGGGATTTTTAAAGGTCTCTGAATCATCTGCACGAGCAGAGGTAGAGACAGTCCCGGAGAGGGAGCACGGCCAGGATTCTCACAGAGGAGAGCACCGGAGGGAGCAGCCATCCTCCTTTAACAGGCAATCAAGTTTCCAGCCCTTGGAGAAATGCCCCGTTCCTTGAGCTGCTTTTTGGCTTTGGAAAGAGGCTCTGGTCACACTGGAATTCCTTCCCTCCTCCAAAGGTGTTTGGCTCTGGTTTTTCAGGTGAGGAGAGAGCCTGGGAGCCACGGGCTTGCAGCGGGAGCAGGTATCCCTGGAAATGCTGCCCCATCCCGCTCCCGCCAGCACTCTGGGACTGTTCCTATGAGCACAAACCCATCCAATTCCACCTCCTGCCCACTTTTGTTCATGGAAGAGCAGCTTCCTGAGCTCTGGAGCTGCAGCAGCACGAAAACCACTTCTCCAAAGTGCAGCTGAGAGGCCAGTCCTGGTGCGCGGCAGCTCGTGACGCCTGCAGCGCCACGCAAGTTATTTAGGAAGACTCTTATTTTGAGCAAAGAAGATAATTAGGCAGGCAAAGCCATCATGGAGATATTAATTACTGGCTGCTTGAAGACGTAAAGAAGGAAGGTCTGAAGGGGTGCAGGGTTTGCAAGTCACCTGGCAGTGCTTCTGGCCAGACAGGGGGAGGCAGAGGAGACGAACGAGCAGGGTATTTACTTCTGAAACGCAGCTCCTCAGCATATGCTGCAACTGCTATTTATAAGCTTTGAATCGTCTTTTCAATCCAGATAAGGCCAAAAGATGTATTTTTCTCACTCAGGAAACTAAACAAACTCTGTGATTTCAGCAGAGCACGGCTTTGCCAAGCAGAGCACAGCCCGAGCTGCCTGTGCTGAGGAAATGTGTGCAGGTACTGGGCAGTGTCACAGCCAGGTGTCCCAGGGGAGCTTTGGGGTTTCCCAAAGGATGGGGTGACTCTGGATTAGCCCCTCTCTGCTTTCCCGTGGGATAGATGGATATTTGGGATGTGCTGGTGCGGGTGAGCTCTCACACTTTGCTGTTAGCCATCTCGGCACGATCCAGGGTGCACATCCCCATCTCTCGAGGAGCCTTCCTCTCCCCAGGGATTGCCCACAGCCAGGGACACCCCGAAGCGCTGGAGGTGAACATGGGGCACCAGGAGAGGAAAGCACACGAGGGGGAGCAGGGTCTGTCTGGGCATCCCTCCTCCAACATCCACGGAAGCAGCATATGGGCTGTGGCCTCTGGCTCCTGTGCTAATGAAGGAGCCTGGATAACGAGGATAACGAGGATAACGAGGTTCCCTCCTCCCACAGCCTGCCCAGCCCTTCATCTTCCCCAGCCCCAGGGGGCAGGAGGAGGGACCGAACTGACACCCTTATTCCACCATGCTCCAGCTCAAGGGGTTCCCAGATCTCTCCTCTTTGTATTTAACACTGAAGGCAATTTTGGGGGGTTGTTAATTGCAATACTGTATTTCATTAAAGGAGGAGAGCGGGAGAGATTTGAAGGCCATCTCTAAATTGAAATTGCTGAAAGTCTAATTGCTGCTGACATCAGGGACCATTTAGTGCTGTAAAACATAATTGCATCTCTGAACTGTTCTGAGCAGATAAGTGTTCCTCTGAACACTCCTCCTGGAGAAGACAGAAGAGCTGATGAGCATCCATCAACCAACCTCATGAAGAAGCAGCTCCCTGCTCCAGAACTTACCAAGGGCTGGCACCGTGTCTCCAAAATGAAGAAATATTAATTGCTGCTGATTTTAAGTGAAAAACCCACGGCCAGGCAGGGAACAGTTGCAAGAGAGGAAAGTTGTGTTTGTTCCCTGCTCCTTGTCCTATTGAGTTCAGCCACATCCATGGATCTGCTGAGGAGGGAAGGTCTCCTGCTGGATCTGGTCCCTGCTGGGGTTTTTTGTAGGACTGGGCATGTCCTGCCCTGCTGGCAGATCAGAGTCCTGTGATGCTGATGGGAATGTTCGTGCCCCAACATGCTGTGCTGCCCCTGGGACATGTCCCAAAACCTCCCAGAGGATCTGCTTTCATGGAATGGCTGATGGTAAAGCCAACTTTCAGACATGTCCCATTTCCAGCTGCCTCCACCACGATTCCCACAGCAATGCCGTGGCTGGAGCTTCATGCCAGAGGCCAGTGATGCCATCAGGGGCTTTGCAGCCCTCAGGGCCTGCAGCTCCTCAGCTCAGCACCCTTGGGATCCATCCCTGACTGCCCAGCAGCATCCTGAGTGCATCTGTGCCCAGACTGGGTGAGCTCAGCCCCAGCTGCAAGAATTGATGGTGCTGTTTTCCAGGGATAACCCTGAGGGTTTTCCAGACCTCATGGAACCAGTCCTCAATCCCATCCTGTGCCACTGGATGTGGTCAGGACTCCAGGGAGGCAGGAGCACACAAGCAGCCACCCAGCAAAATGTTCTTCAGCAGCCCAGCTTGGAAATGGCAGGAGATAATTTCTGTTCCTCCTGAGGAGTCATTTACCAACATTTTATATGGGGCTGTAAGTGCACAGAATTGCTTGCTGCCTTTCAGGACCTTTAAAATTATCTCCATTGCAAGGGAAAATTAAAGCAATGGAAGAATAGGGACCTATCTTTTATAGTGCATTAAAAAATACCCAGTCTGAAGGTTACTGAACCTGTGCTTTCTGTAAGGGAGAGCTAATCCAGACAATCCCCAGCAGTCTTTTTACTGCTCCACTCTGATCTCCCTGGCACAAAATCCGTGAGCAGATTATCTTGGGAGCAGCAATGCTGATAAGCAGAGGGACTTAAGGCTTTTGGACTTCTTTTTAATTAGTTCTATAGTGGGGTTTTTGTGTGCACACCTCAACTTCTCCTGGTGTAGAGCTTTGCTGGGCTTTCTAATGGCAGTCACACCTGCCTTGAGAAAATGAGGAGTGTGCTCCATCATCACTTCCAGGCTTTGCTGAAGATTTTTCTGGGAGTGTCAGTGCCTCTTTCACATCTTGGGATGAAAAACTCTTTTTCTTGGAGCATCCCAGGCTATGGAGAAGGCAGATCTGCCAGCCAGCACCTGCAAGGACAGGGGCTGGGGAAGGGAGCAGAGCACAAATTTATCATCACATTTTGCCTCTCATCCCACAGGTATAAATAGAAGCTCCTCCAGCCTCGCCTCACCCTGGAATGTCAGCAATAAACAATAAATTCCTGCTGGGTGTGCCAGGCTGCCTGCGGGCCTGGCCGAGCCCACGGCCACATCTGCTGCTTGTGCTGCCCTCTAATAATTTCCTGGCCCACTGAATTAATCAAAACCCCCCAAAGGTCAGTGGGAGAAGAGGCCACCTTCCAGTGCAAGTCGGATTTATTTTTCCTTTTAGAGCTTGTGTTAAAAGCCAGACCCTGGCCAGCCCCTTCCCATCAATCTCCCCCAGCTCATGGAGAGGGAAGAGGGTCAGAACCTGCTAATGAGTTCAGTTTTCCTAATGGTTATTTTATCATTGGAGCAGAATAATCGTAATAATAATGATACATCCTGCCTGCTGTCTGGAGAGTGCCAAGCTGCCTTTGTAATGCCTGACAAAGGCATTTATTTATATTTTTTATTTGCAGTCTCTGTGATTAGAGGGCAGTCTTCAGAATAGCCCAGTCGAGTTAAATAATCCTGGTAACATCGCTTTGAGTCTAATTGCTGCCCTTTTCTTTTTTAGGTACTTGCTCCCCTAATTAAGATCACAATCGAGCTGCATCTCGAGTGGGAGGGGGAAAGCAATTAAAGGAGGGGGATTAGGTTGCCCTGCAGAGGTTTTGGGCCCAATCCTGCCAGCTGGGGATGCAGGATTCCCACAGCCAGGGCTGGATGTGCTGCTGGGGTTTGCAGGAGTGGCAGCAGTGAGACAGTGCTGGCTGATGCTGGTGGCTTGTCCAGCCCCTGTGTGGCCACTGCAGGAGCACAGGGCAGGGATGGGGCTCCTGGGGTTCACAGGGTGCTCTGCTGGCCTGCAGGGGTGGCTCCCACCCCTGGTGTAGCTGGAGGTTTCCTGCCACATCCTCCAGCCTCGTCTGTGCCTTCATGGCTGTGCTGGATCCATCCCTGGCTGGGCATTCCCAGGATGTACCAGAGGCTGTGGGGCTGTGACCATGTCCTGAATGTGTCCCATGATTGAGTCCTGGGCATCTGCTGGCTCTGGTGGCAGTGCTCACCTCCAGCTCCTCGGCTGCCAAACCCCAACTTTTCCCCATCCCGTTTATCAGACACATTTTAAAGCAATCAGCACACATTGTGCTGATGTTTCCACATCCCTCTGCTCAAGGGCAGAGCCTTCCTTGGGAACTGAGATTCACCATCCACAAAAAAACCTTTCTCTGCTTAGAGGAAAACCCCTGCAGGACTGGAGCAGAGCCAGGGCTGGAGCTCTGCAGCCCAGCCCGTGCCCTGGCAGCCCTGGGGAGAATGGGAATTGATGGATGTTTGTGCTTGGACTGCCAGAGCTGGGAGCAGGACCTGAGTCCCCACCTGCAGAACAAGCTCCTGCTGCTGTCTGAAGGTGATTTTAGGTTTTGTCAGTCTTGCTGGAGCAGGGCTCCCTGCTGCCCTGGCCCTGGGGCAGGCTGGGGCTTTGTCAGTATTTCCTGGCCGAACTCTGTTTGCCTGCCAAGCTTTTTAATTTGTTTTATAAATTGCCAAATCCAGCAGGCTGAACCGAGGGCCCCCTTCTGTGATAAAAATAAAATAACAGCTTGAACTCGGAGGGCCGAGCCGTGGGGCTGCAGGAAGCTCTGATTAAAGGGCAGGTGGAAATGATGAGGCTCCCAAACCGGAGCTTTCATCTTCCGCTCTTGAGTGAAAAATGCAGATCTGGCAAGTTTTGCTGACTTGGTTCGTGGTGCTTTCTCACTGTGCTGCCATCCTTGAGCTGAGCACCCAGAGCGCTGCTGGTCCTTCCTCCCTGTGGTGATGTGCAGGGGGTTTAGCTGGGAATTGCTCTGGAAATGCTCGTTTGAGCCACACCCAGAGGTGATGCACAAGGTACAGCAGGTTTGGCCTCACCCCCTCATCTTCCCCTGGCAGGTAAAACCTCTCTGATTTGTGACTTACCCAGACCAGGAGATAATTTGCCATGAAATTGCTGCTCAACGAGGGGGGTACATTATTCTGGCAGAAATTTCTCTGGGTATTTACTCTGCTTTGAACTCAAGATATTTGCTTGGGAGAAATTATTCTCTTTTTTTTGCCAGCAGGCAAACCTGTAGCTCCTTTGCTTTGGGCACGGAGATCACTGTGAAATTGCAGCAGGAAGGTTTCAGTCCCCTGAATATCCTTAAACTCCGTGGGTGCCTTGCTGCTATCAATGCTGGGGAAAAAAAAAGCACCTTATTTCTTGCTATAAAGTTTGTCCAACTCCCCCCCATGCAGCAAACCCTGCTTTGATATTAAGCAAAACTGTTCTGATTTTTATTTTGGATTTTTTTTTTTCCTGTTTGGAACACGGAGGGAAGGTGCAGTTACCTTGGAAACAGCCGTGGGATGCTGCCTGGTGGCAGGGCAGCACTCAGGCAAAACTCTTTTGGGAAGGTGGGCACGGAAAAGTGGGGTTTGCTGGGTCCAGAGCCACCCTGGAAGCTCCAGGCTGGTGGCAGGTAAAGCTGAGCCAGGAGAGAGGCTGCTCCAAGGCCAGGCTTTGGTGTGCAAATCAGGCCTGGGAGCCTTGGAGAATTTCAGCCATGTTTTTGGGAAGACTGTCTTTTTAAGGCTTTTCCTCTGCTTTGGATTAGTGAGACATGCTCAGATCATCCAAAAGGGAAAGAATTTCTCAAATCAAAAGGACTTTTGCTGCTGAGGCTCTTCTGGTTTTGTTCTGCTCCCCTGCCCCATCCCTGTGTCCCATCCCAGGAGATGCTGCAGCTCCTGGATCCTGCCGATGCCATAAAGGAGCACTGTGCTGATTAAAAGCTGTTGGTGTTTTTCATTTTAACCAGGAAAGTACTTCCATCCTCACTGGGTTTAATTTACAGTTTGCAGCCAGATTGGAGCTGGGAAGGGATCCCACTGGTGGCTCATTTGTTTGAAGGTGTCACTATACAAATACACGTTCTGGGAATGCCAGCGGCGCTGGAGGGGAGGATGTGCCAACAGCAGCTCTCAGCTGTGTCCCAGCCATTCCCAAATCTTCCCGGGGGACACCCTGCATCTCCTGGGGGACAGGAAGCTGCTGGCTGCACTGAGGCTGCTGAGGGATGGGATAACCCAGGTGAAAGGCCATGGAAGCAAAGCCTGTGGCTGCAGTGCTGGGCGAGCTGCATCCACTCATCCCTCTCACTCCTCTCCCAGCCAACCTGGGAATGGCCACCAGCCTCCCAGCACGGAGCCACGCTTCATAACAGGGCTCCCGGCAGGATGTTTTGTGTTTTATAATGTCTGCAGCCCGTTCTCGAGCATCTCCATGCGCCCCTTTCGTGCTCAGAGAGGGAACAGTGTGTGTTTGCCGGGTGCTGCAGGTTAATCACATCTCTCCTCCCTTGCAGCCACGCTGGGGACGCTGGATTTCAGTTTGCTCTACGACCAGGAGAACAACGCTCTCCACTGCACCATCAACAAAGCCAAGGTACGGCTCAGCCCCGGGCTGGGGACAGCAAGGATGGAAACCCGACCCATGGCTGTGCCAGGAAAATCCATCCCACCCATGGCTGTGCCATGGAAATCCATCCCACCCATGGCTGTGCCAGGAAAATCCATCCGACCCATGGCTGTGCCATGGAAATCCATCCCACCCATGGCTGTGCCATGGAAATCCATCCCACCCATGGCTGTGCCGAGCATCCCTGGTCCCAGCGGCTTCCAGCTCCACTCCCATGCCAAGCCCTCTGCCCTCTCCTTTCCCTGCCTCTCAGGGCGTTCCCAGCAGTCGGGAGCCGGCTGCTCATCCCCCGTGACGAGCAGGGATTGATGCTTTTCAGAGCAGCCCGTCCCGGTGTTGTTATTTGCTGTGACCGGCTGTCGGGTTATAAATGGCTCTTTTAAATGCTGCTAATCACGGCCCCAAAGTGCTGCGCCTCAGCGCCTTTGCCGTCTGCCTNATTGAGGCAATTAGGGGCTTTTTGCACATTTGGGAGCAGGAACGGGGAACTTGAGGTGCTGGCTGTGCCTCAGGGAATGTGGAAGGTGCTGCTGGGGCTGCCGGGCTCCTCCGTGCATCACCCAGAGAAACGAGGGCTCCCAGGTGGGATGGGGAGAAAAAACCTCAATCCCTGCAGATCTTGAGAAGGGATGGAGGGTTTTTACAGAAGGCGGGAGAAAGGGATGTGAACTGAGTCCCTGAGGGTCAGACCACTCTGTTTGCCTTCATAGGATGCTCCTCTCCCCTCCATGGTTTATTTGCAGCCCCCACCCCAGCGTTCTTTATGTCTGGAACATAAGCACCAAAGCTGGATTTTGGGGATGGGCGATCTGCCCCAGCCCTCCCGGAGCTGCTCCTGGCACGGGCAGCACCCCCAGCTCGCAGGCAGGACAGCCAGGGCAGGGCTGAGCCCTTTGCTGGGCTTTGCTTTTCCCTCCCTGTCTCCTGTGAATCCACGGCAGCCTCTGGGTCAGGCTTCCCTCGGCGCACACGGGAGCGGTGCCAAGGAGGAGATTTCTAATTGGGTTTGGAGTGGGTGGAAGACAGGGAGGAAAGGAGAGCTCTGGGCAGCCACTGATAAATCTCACAGCAGCAGGAGCACGGGCAGGGCTGGCAAAGGAGAGCCCTGGTGCCTGCTGTGCCCACCCACGGGGTGTGGGGGTACCCCAACATCACCCCTGCCCCTGGGGAGGGCAGAGCCCCCCTGGCCACCCTGACATTCAAGCTCTCGAGTCCTGTTCATTTCCATTCTGCTCTCATTCTCCCATTTTTCTCTTTTATTTACATTGCCATCTGCTCGCTCTCATTTCATCTCTCGCCTGGGGAAAGCTGCCAAAACTTGACTACAGAAAGGTAAGGGCCAGGACCCCACTGCTGGCTCTGGGGGTGTTACAAGTAGAGCTGGAGAGGAGGAGATGGGGGAAAAGCCCCAGCAGTGCTGGGATGTTCTTTACCAGCTCCTGGGTACCTGTTTCCCTCCAGGAAAAACGCCCTCAGGATGTTCCCAACTCCAGCAGCTCCTGCAGCCTCGTTTGCTGCCAGCAGCCATTCAAACCTGGGCTATTTCAGCCACGTGAGACACGTTTTTCTTTCTCTCTGATAACCCCAAACAACCTCCCTCCCTCTCTCTCTCCCTTTATTTTACTTCTCTCTATTTTTTTTTAATCTCCAGCACTTTTATATCTGCTGCTGCTCCTCACGAGTCCTGTTATCAGCTCCTGGGGAGCAGGTTCAACCCAACCTGTTGTGCTCCACCAACAATTCCCTGCTCTGCAGCCCTGAGCTGCTGGAGGCTGGGACAGTCACTCCACGTGGGAATTCACCCTGGTGCTGTGCCTGGGAATTTCTGAGAGGATTTTTGAGGAGTAGAAGTTCACAGCAGGATTTGTGAGATTCTGGGTGGCACCAGACAGGTGGTGGCGGGCAGGAAGGGGCAGGAACAGGCAAAAGCAGACAGGAACAAGAGGAACAGGCAGGAGCAGCCAGGAAAAGGCAGGAGCAGCCAGGAAAAGACAGGAGCAGCCAGGCTGGCAGCAGCCACCTCGCCCTGATGGCTCTCAGTGCTGGCAGCAGCCCTGCCTGTCACACTTCAGGCACGGCTGAACTCAGACATGCCTTAGCTCAGCTCAGATCAATAGAAGAATAAATCAGGGCATCGTGGAAGCTCATTCCTGGACTGCAGGAGCAGCCAGGCTGGCAGGAGGGATCTCCCTCTGCCCTGCACGGGCCCTGGGGTTGTGTGGATCTCTGCTGTCCTGCCTGGGACAGAGCTGGGGTGAGCTGGGCATCAGCCTCTCCTAGAATTTAGGATGGAAAAGGATTTGATGAATGTGCAGGTTGCTGGTTTTGTGCCCTGCCATGCCATGGCTTCGCTGAGGGTCTCACTTTGTGCTCAGTCCTACAGAGCCCAACCTGCTATAGGGGATTTATAGGGGCTTGCAGCAGCACATGGCACAGGCTGTGCTATCCAAGTCTCCTGCTTTTGGGAGAAAGGTGCCTGGGACAAACCTCAGGGGGCTGTAGGGAATGGTGAAGGAGCTCCTGGCCCCAGGCAGGCCTGGTGCACATCCTTGGGCTGCTCTCCTTGCACCTCTCAGAAAACACCCAGGAGTTTCCACCCCACTGAGCATTTGGCTGTCCCCTCCCTTCCAACCCGGGCGAGTGCTGGAGGTCTGCACTGAGCATTACTTATGTATTGACTCATAAATATTTATCACTGCAGGGAAATTCCTCCAGCTGTCTGGCTCCTCTGGGCTGTCAGGGTGGAAATGCAGTTTTGCCCCCTTTTCAGAATCCAGCCTGGGAGTTATCCAGGCTGGTTTTTGGGCAGGCAGCTCGTTGTGGGGTGAAGGATGGAACGACTCCATCTCCTGTGATTTCTGGACGCCTCTAGCGTGGCATTAATCGGCAGCCCGATTAGCCCGAGTTGTAATTAAATCCTATTGATTAGCTAAATGTCACTGGCACGGGGAGCAGCTGGCAGAGCCTGGGATACAGGGAGCTGGAGGGTTCTGTAGGATTGCAGCAGAGATTCCGGGGTTGGGTAGAGGAAGGGAAAAGATGAAACTTTATCTCAGCTCCATAAATGGGTGCAGCAGCAGGAATGGTTGGAGCCAGGGGGAAGCCACAGCTGGATCTGAGGGGAGACTCTGCCCTCTGTGCCTTGTCCCTCTCTGCCTCTCATCTCCCTTGGAGAAGCTGCAGGCTGGTGGTCCCTCCAGGCAGGGCAAGCAATGTGGGTGCTCCCATCATCCCCCCCAGGAGCAGCCCTGCAGAGCAGGGCCCTGTTAAATTCAGCTGTTTGTGCCAAACACGTATCAAATGACACGGGAGGGAGGTAGACGTGACATTAGGAGCCATTTTCCAGGCTCCTGTCACTCCATCTTCCATAGCACATCTATTAAAAAAGCCTTTAATAGCCTCCTCAGAAGGTAATTTAATTGAGCTGAATTGATGGGTGAATTACAGAGCTGCCTGTCATTCTCCATCCATTTTCCTGGGAATCTGCCTGCTTGGTTCTGATTTCATTTGCTGTGCAGCCCGGGCAGGTTGGGCACCTCTGACCAGGGAAGTTGGGGAGATCAGGAGTGGATTGTGCTCCAGAGTCTCCTTCCAGAGTTTGGGAACAGCCCAGCCCCCTCCTGCCCTGTCTGCCCCATCCTCATCATCTCCTGGACCAGACATCACCCCAGAGGCTGCACTCAAAGCACAGCCCTTTCACCTCCATTCACTGCTGATATTTTTATCCTTTTGGCTCTGCTGTAGAAGCAAAATCCTCTGTGCTGGGCACCATTTGGCCTCCCTTGCTCCAGGGCAGCACGATTGTCTCTGCAGCAGAGCCCTTGCTCCAAATCAGAGACACTCCCAAGGTCAGGAGCATCCTGGACAAAATTGTGCAGCTCAGGGAGGGTCCTGCGGTGCTGTGGGTCAGGCTGGGTGAGCTATTCCCTACTTGAGAAGCATGGAAGTGGTTCCCCAGGCATTTCCCTCCTGGATTTGCCCAAATCCTGGGTGATTGCATTCCTTCTGCACTCAGCCATTCCTCCAGCAGTCCACACAAATGCTTCCCTGCTGCTGGATCCCTGGCAGCTGCACACACTCATTATCCAGGCACTCTGCTCCTCACAAAAAGGGTGTGAGGACTCTTCAGCATCCCTCAGCCTTGTCCCCATGCCCAGGCTGGAGGCAGGATTGGATGGGTACCTCTGCAGAGAAGCCCTGCTCTGATCCAGGCACAGGATTGCCTTCAGCCAGCCCAGCAATAATTCCTGCAGGGATCCCACAGCCAGGCTGGAAATAATCCAAGGACTTCCACGATGGAGCCATTCTCATTTCTACTTAGGTCTGGTGAATATTAAGCTCCATTTTTCACGCTCCTGACTTGCTTCCCTGCCCTGTGGAGTTTTTTTTCCATGCAGTCTGTGCAGGTGTGACTTTGAGCTGGGTTTGTGCATCACCCCTGGGTAATTTTCAGGAGGTTTAGAAGAGGAGCAGAGGCACAGCTTGTACCCTCCCTCTGACCAAAGCAGGGTCCAGCTGCAGGGCATCACTACAACAAACCTGATCCACATCATCCTTCAAGAGCTGTGAGGGTCTTGTAGAAAACCCATCAGCAATGGCCCCAGCGAGTGTTTCCTCGGATTGGTGCTGCTGCAACCCCAGATTTCTCTGTGAGCACCACAGCATTTGGCTGGCACCAGCCTCCCCCTGGCCTGGAGCTGTTCTTCCTTAATGACTGGGAGTAGGTAGGTGCTATCACACCCTCTGGGAGCGCTTGGAAGTGGCACCACAACAGCAGAGGTGTGTGTTTGCTCAGAAGCAATTATTAAATGACAGAACCCTGTAATTTCAAAGCTGGGAAATCACTGCTCTGATTCGCTTCACCCCCAAATTAATCGTGATGAGGGTGGCAGAGTCGGCTGCTGGGAGGGAGGAGTGGATGGTGCCACGTGCAGGTGAGGAGCTCCCCCAGCCCCTCCTGGAATCCACAAATGGGAATGCTGAGCCCGGATCCTGCAGAATCCACACTCCCCTCCTTCCTCAATCCTGGGGAAACCACACATTTCCAATCCTGGGGAAACCACAGCTGCTCCATGGACCAGCCCAGGGAAACAGGATGAGCTCAGGGAGTTCACCCTGCCTGCCCAGCATCCCACTGTTATCCTCATTCCTGCTTTTCTGCTGTTCCCTCTCCAGGGCCTGAAGCCAATGGACCACAATGGTTTGGCTGATCCTTATGTCAAGCTGCACTTGCTCCCTGGAGCCAGTAAGGTGAGAAACCTTTTCATTTCTCCTTCCTTTTCTTGGGGGTGCAGCTTTTTCAGGCCTGGGAGAAGCTCCTCACCCAGGGGCTGTGGGCTGCTGCACCCAGACCTTGAATCTCTTGAGAGAACAGTAGCTTGAATCCCAAAAGAAATCTGATATAGTATGATAAAATCATGGTTATATTATCTATGCAATTTCTTTTGCAAAAGAATCCAAGAAATCAAGTATTAACTACAAAAAAGTTCTAGAAGGTATAATCCATGTTGCTGACCTTGGGCTTTCAGTAATTACCTTAACAATAAGACACACCCCTGTCCCTGAAGTAGTTTGTGCTACATTTCAGAGTCAAATCATTGGATTTGCAATATCAGAGGATCACAGGATCCCATGGTAGGGAGTTTTCAACTGTATGGAACTGGATGTCAAGTCCTTCTACATTTTCACCCATTCACTTTAGACCTGGAAAATCTTAGGGCTTCACAACCTTAAACTAACCATTAAATTCCAGGTGCTCAGAGAGAGCAGGAGCTAAGAACTGGGGTTGAATCCATCCTTATAGGGATGAAAAATGCCTTTTCTGGGAAACCACTGGCTGGCAGCCAGGTGCCAGCCCTGATTCCTTACCTTGGGAGCCCAGGATGGGAATGCTGCATTCCAGGAGCCCCCGGGTTGCTTTGAGTGAAACAATCTCAGCTATAAACAAATCGGGCCCTTTTAATTTCCTTTCTTTTTTGCCCTTATTCTTTTGCATTTAAAACCCCTCAGATCATAATAAAACAGAGTATAAATCATAAGGGAAATATTTCCATCTCCTTAGGTCCAGAGCTTGCTGGAGAGAAGAGTAATTAAAGATATTGATGTGTGGTGAGAGCTGGGTGTAAGTGACTGGGATGTGGAATTTAAATGCTCCGTGTGTGTGTTAGGAATATTAATTGCACTCTTATTCCACACGAAAGGAAAGACCTTTTTTTTGGGGGGGGAGGTGTATTTACTTGTTACAGTTCATTTGGATTAATTCCTAATGTTCAGGGTGGCAGAGGGAGTTTTTAACCACACTCTGAGTTTCCGCTGCACACAGAGCCGGGAGCGCTTTCATCACGGATATTATCAGTCATTTCCATGTTTTGCAATTCCATTGATTAGCATTTCTGCTGGAGCTGCTGGATTCTGGAGAGGCAGGAGGGGAGGGGACACAGGAGCTGCAGATCCATGGGGGGATCCTCTCCCTGCCCCCTGTGCCCATCTCTGTGCTTGGTTCCAAACAGCGCTGCCCGGATCTGCCCTGGGAGAGGGCAGCAGGTCTGGGAGGAATTGTGGATTTATCCTGGGCTGGATGTTCCTGCACTGCTGTTCCAGCAGCAGGACAGTCCCTGTCGAGTGTTCCTGTCCCAAATTTGGGCTCTCAGGCACCTGTGGGTGTGGGGAGCAGGGCTGGATTCATTCCCCATGCAGAGCTGGTTGCTGACTCCTGAGTCATTCCAGATGGGAGAAAAAGGCACTCCAGGAGCTCAGCTCCTCTGATCTCACTCGTGCCCCTTCCCAGGGCAGCTTTAGCAGCTGAGTGATGTTCACCATGTGGCTAAACTCACTTTTCTTCCCAGTCCCTGGAGCCCCAGGGATTAGGATCAGGTGCCCACAGATCTGAGCAGGCTGTGGGATCCACTGGGGCTCTTTCCCTGCTGTCCTGGTCACTCAGGGCTGGCGAATCCAAGGTGGGGAATGCAGCAGCTTCCCATAAAGATCCACAAGAACTTGTGCTGAGAGTTCCTTATGCCCAGCAGCAGCTGAGGCAGGGATTGAGTTGTCTGACACCTAATTAGAGGGAAAATTGCTGCTCTGCCAGGCTGTGCCAGGCTGGGAGCCTGGTGGAGAAGCCCAGTCTGCGGCCTCAGACTCTTTTTTCTGCTCTCCCCAGAAGTGAGGAGATCAATATCCCCTGAGCTGGGGAGTGGCTCTGTGCCAGGATGTCCCATCCATGCAGGGGACACAAACCCTGCTGTCCCCATCCTGCTCAGCAGAGCTGCTGGAAGGAGCTGCTGGTGCTGACAAAACCCCTGTCAAGGAAGTTGTTTGGAGTCAGGCAGGATCAAGACTTGTGCTGGGAACAGGAGCACAAACAAACAGCCAGAACAGCAAATCAGCGTTTTTTATTTACTCCAAAAAGGATTTTTTTTTCCCCCTCCCTTACTCTCTCCTACTGCTTAAATGAAATGCTGGTCTGTGCTCTGCCAAGGTTCCCACTTTGCTGGCTGTTTCCAGGATGCAGGATGTAGGGTTGGGTTTGTTTGGAGATGACTGAGTTGCTGTGTTTTGTCCCTCTGGTTTTGCTGCATTAGGGGTGGATTTGGGTTACAGCACCGGGGCAGCAGAGTGACAGCGCCCACTGCACCTTCATCTCCAAACTGGGCTACCTGTGCTGCCCAAATGGCTTCCTGGGGCTGATCCCACTGACCCCCACCTCCTCTGCTTTTCCAGGCAAACAAGCTGAGAACCAAAACGCTGAGGAACACCCTGAACCCCACCTGGAACGAGACCCTCACCTACTACGGCATCACCGACGAGGACATGATCCGCAAGACGCTGCGGTAGGGGGGACATCCCGGGGGAACACGGGGCCCTTCCCCTCCCTCAGCACTGTGCCAGCTGTCCCTCCCCACCCCAGGGACAATTCCCCACATGCTCAGCCCCACAGGAGGGTCCTGGAGCTGCTCCCAGCAGATCAGGGCAGAGTTATCCCCCAGCAAAGTGTGCGTGCCCTGCATGCATCCATCACCTCCAGAGCCACTGAGTCGTGATTTACAGCCAGCCTGGGCTGGGGTGACACTGAGGAGCCTGGTCCTGCTGCACCATGAGCTTCAGAACTCTCTGCCTGCAGGGCTGGTGTGGTTTGCGTTTAACTTCTTCATGCCCAGCTCTCACGGGCACATGTTGAGGCTTTGGGGTCGTGCCTTGCTGAGAAAATCTCCTCAGGGAAGTTCTGGGCCCCTTTCAGAGCTGAGTTTTTTGTGAGAAAGCTGGAGGCATCTGTGAATTATTGTCCAACTCAGCAAAGAGTGTGAGTCTTTATTTTATTATTTGATTTTGTTGGTTCAGGCTGTGCATTCAGTGTCTCCCAGGGGCTGGGAGAGGTTGTGTGAGGATGGAGGTGGGCAGGGGCAGAGCTTGGAATGATGCTCTGCAGGGAGCAGACACCTCTGAATGCAAAGATTTTTCATGTTTTGGCCTCTGTCCCACATGGATGAGGGCAGGAATTGTGGGCAGCCTCAGCTGCTTCATCACCACACTGATCTGGGGCCGTGCTGCAGGATTTACTGTAAGATTCACTGTCAAAGAAAGGATTTTTGCATCCTTCTCCAAGGACTCAGGGCTTTGCCAGCTCCGTGGCTGGAATCCCACCCTCCTCATTTGTAGGTGCCCTGGGAGTTTGTGATTTTTCTTATGCCAGGAGCACAAAGCTGCCTTGTGAGAGGTCCTGCTCAGGGGTGAGGAGGGGCAGAGCCCACCTGTAGTGTGCAGTGTGCAGTGTGCAGGGTGATGGGAAACTCAGCACCGTGGATTATTGTTACTTCACTTGGAAAACATTAGTCATGCTGGAAGTGCTGCAGGCTGGTGGGGCTGGGAAGCCTCCAGTTTGTTGTTATTATTGGTGGGTATTTTTTTCACTGCAGGCTTTGAAGTTTGCATCCTCCTCAAGCATGGAAATCATTTTGTAAGGGGATGTTGGCCGAGTTGTTTGCTGGAAGGAGACAGGGAGGGCTCGACCCCCACTCTCTCAGGGCTCTGGGAGCTGCTTCTCCCTTGGGAAGGGCTGTTTATCCTGGAGGCAGCAGGGAGCTGTGAGATGCACCAAAATATGTGTGGGGCCGGATTTGCTTTTCTCCCTACAGAAATGCTGCACTGCCCCATCCCATTCCTGCCAGCCTGGGTGCTGTGCAGCCCCTTGTGCCCTCCCCAAACTCAGACCTGTGCATGGACCCCTGTACCCCACCTGGGACCCCTCAGTCAGCAGGAGAAGGTGGCTGGATGGACTTTAAAGATCATCTCATTTGGGCAAGGACACCTCCCACTGTTCCAGGGTGCCCCAAGCCTTGTCCAGTCTGGCCTTGGACACTTCCAGGGATCCAGGGGCAGCCACAGCTTCTCTGGGCTGATGCAGGGAAGGATTTCTTCCCAGTATCCATCCAAACTGGCCATCTGTCAGTGCTTGGTGTGGCTGGAGCTGACCCAGTGTCCCTACCTGCAGGAAACATCTCCCTGCCCTGTCCTGCCTTGGGTGCTTTGCCTCACCCATCCATCTTCTCCTCAAAATATTTCCTTTCCCACGAGGAAAAGCCAACTTCAAAGCCAGGAGGACGCTGCTTTTCCCTGTGCTAATCAGGAGAGGCTCCTGCCAGGCAGCTGGTGCTGCTTGAAAGAGCATCAGTGATGCTCCCCTCGGTCTGGGTGGTGACCATTCCCTGGGAGCTCCCCTGGTGCTGAGCTGGGCAGGGAATGCAATTCCAAAGTCTCTTTAATGTAAAAATAAAGGAGGAGATCAAAGCTGCCGCCAGCCTTCGCCTCCCTGCAGCCTGGAGATGTGTCAGGGAAGCTGGAAAAGCACCCAGAAATCTTCCCTGCCCACCTGGAGGGACGTGCCCAGCATGGATTGGCAGGGGGTGGGACACTCTGCCGGTGCCTGCAGCCTTTTTGGAGGGGACAGGTGGCATTTGGCAGAGCAGCTGCAATAGGGACACTCCAGGGAGCTGGGGATTGGATCCTGCCCAAGCCCCCCAGCCCCACATCGTGCCCAGGCAGGTTCTCCCTCATCCCTGCATGGCCTTGTCCAAACTGGAGTGACTTCTTTGTCACAGACACCAGGAGCCATCAGGGTTCACCTCCCAGAGGTGAAGGAGAGGTGAAGGCAGCCCAGCTAATTGCACTGACAAGCAGGATTTTGTTAATGAGCCAACCCCCTCAAAACCCAGCAGATATTTGGGATTTCGTGGAGCACAGCAGGTGGGAGGATCTCGAAAGGTCTCATCCATTCATTGAATTAAATATCCCTGAGTGTAGCCCAAGGCTTAGCAGGGATGAAACCACCCACCAGCCTGGGAAAAGGCAGGTTCAGAGCTGTGCAAAACACACTGCAGTGCACAGATGGAGGGGATTGGGGATTCCACCGAGGGGGGGGAAATCCCACCCTGGAGCCCCCATTCCCACCTGGACTCTGACCACAGGGTTCAATGTCAGGAGCAGGCAGAGAAATGTTGCAGGGGAAACTGGAACAGGCAGAATACAATCACCTCCATTTAAATAATACATGTAATATACAACAAATAAATTGCATTCATAATAAATACCCGAGCTGGCCAGATATTGGATACAATTATTCATATCCAGATATATTGGCAAGGTGATGCATTATTCATGGGGTACTCAGCTAGCCCACGAATGCCAGGAATTCTTTGTTTAATCATGTGTTTGACAAACATCATGACTCATTAAATGTATTATTCAGAAAATAGTATTTGATCAGGACTAATAAGCAGAGTGCAGCCACTTCAAGGTTTGGGGTCCCAAATTGCTTTACTCTGGATGAATGAGCTTTGCTTGGAATTGCAGGTGCTCTTGCAGTTACAACTCACTTCTGCTGCGGTTTCTGTGCTCAGACTTTGGAGGCATTTTGTGGTGGAGCCCATGATGGAATCCTCCTTTTGTTTTCTGGAGAACTGGACTTTGCCAGGATGTTATTTTGTCTCCTTGCCTGGTGCTGCCTGTCCTTAAATTCCTCATGGGGAGCCTCCCATGTTGCCATAAGGGATCTTAGGTGCAGGGGATGCATCTCAGGCTCTGCTCCGTGTGTTTTTGTGGCAAAGGGTCCTTGCTGGCCCCCATTCCCCCTTTCCACAGTGGGGAAGAGGTTGAGGAACTCGTGTGAGGGAGCAGGAGCCGTGAGTCAGCTGCTGGAGCTGCACAGTGAGTCAGGGCTGTAACCCAGGAGCCTGGGCTGAGTAGGAGGGAGGAGAAGTTTAATGAGCAGTGATTGTTCATTTGCTGCTTAGTTTCCTTCCAAGGTGGTTTTCACAGCCCTTAACATAAAGATCAGGAGCCCACAGTGACGACATCCAGTGAAACTCTGGGCTGGAGGGATTGGGATTAATAAGGAGAGATGAGAAAGGGGTGAAGCTCCAGTTCCAGGCTGGGGGTGGAAGGTGGATGCCAGAGGCATCTCGTGCTGTTTGTCATGGGGCTGATTTTCTAACCCAAGGCATGAAAATTCCATCACATCGATTTCTCATAATAAAATCCAAGCTGGTGTGATTGCACTGTGCCTTTTTCCAAAGAGAGGCCAGGGCTGGAGCTTCCTGCTCGTCTCACTCAGAGCTCACTGCCTTCACTGATGGGCCAGGGCACTGCAGTGCTGGAAATCCCATTCCAGTGGGGATGAACTGCAGGGGAAGAGGAACTGGGACTGGGGCAGAGCCTGGGGCACTGGGGGAGCTGACACAGAACCTCTCTGGGCATCACACACAGATGGGCACAAAACGGGGGGACCCACCTGAGAGGTGGCCAGAGGTGCCACAGGGAAAACAGGGCTGGGAGAGACCTGGAGGTGTTTCCAGCTCCACTGTGGCAGCTCCCAGACCCTGCAGATGTGCCAAAAATCACTTCCCAAGGGACCTCCCATGTCCCTGAGGGCACTGAAACAGAGCTCAGTGGGGTCTGCCCCAGTGTGACACTGGAGATGCTCTCCCTGCCACCACCACTGGAGTTTTCCACATTTCCTTCCTGGGCTTTTGCTCATCCTGAGCCTCCTGAGTCTTCACAGCAAGCAGGACGTTGTGTTTGGGATCTTGCTCTGCTTCTGGAGAGTACCTGGACATTGTCAGGAGAATTGTTACTCACATTTTGAAGAGGTAAACCATTCCAAACCCTCCACAATTGCTGGCTGTACACACAGATCCTGGGCTGTCCCCTCCTGTCCCCCCCAGCTGTGCCCAGAGGGACAGGATTCCACACCCCTGGCAAGTGCAGTGTTTGCTCTGGAGCTGCTGCTGCTCCTTTGTTGGTTTTGTTCTTTAAAAGAAAGAGAAGAGGAAATGGGGAATTTTGTGCCTGCATTTGAGATTCTCTTTGAGGATTTTACCGTTGTGGTGGGGTGGGTTTTTTTTCCATGGGTATCTATAGTAACGCTGCATCCAGCCACAGTTTTCTGGAGAGCAGCATTCCCTGTTTTCCTGCTTGTGTAATTTTTTTTTTTTTCCCAAACTCCTTTTTTCTGCTGCTCCCCAGCCCTGATGATCCTTGTGCTCTGGCACTGAGACATCCCCGTGGCTTCCTTGCTTCCTTGTTACTCATTTGTGAGCGTGAGGGTGGTCAAACCCTCCTTGGATAAGGCACTGAGCCATCCACAGATAAACCATCTATAGATAAATCTTCCATGGATAACCCAGCCGTGGATAAACCATCCAGATGCTGAGCAGCCAGAGGTGTGGTGTGCAATTAGTTACTCTCAGGTGGGATCACAGGACATTATTTATCTTTAATTACTTTTCTCCCTTCTCCTGAGATCCCTGGGGAGATGGACACCAAAGGGAGTGGGTGAAAAAGAAAACAATCAGTACCCAAAAGATGAGAAGACACTGTAAGAACATTTAAAAAAAAATTTAAAAAAAGGAGAAAGGATGTAAGGGAAGGGAAAAGAAATGTCTTTCCTTCATGGGCAGGGAGCCCAGGCAGTCCCTGCATGGCTCCAGGGGGGATGCAGGATGCTCCCTTTGGAGGGGAGTGGGTTGTTTTTCCCCATTACCAGCACTGCTGGGGAACAGCTGGTCCCTCAAGGAACCCTTCTGGCCCTCTGGGATTTGGGGAGCTGCAGTCAGAGGCTCCCTGCAAGCACCAACTTTGCTCCTCTGTCGTCTCTCCTGACGCCCAGAAGCAGCAGAGGAATGAATGACTCATTAGCTGCCAGCTCAGGGAAAGGCATTTATAGATTTTCATGGAAAACAGCCTGGGCTCAGCACCACCACCACGTCACTGCTGGGACACAGCTGCATCTCAGGGATCCTGCACCCCAGAATCCCAGCAGGGCTGGGAGAGCTTCACCTGCCCAAGCTGGGATGTTTTCCGTGGTCTGGGTGTGGAAACACTCATGGTTTGTGTGTTTGGTGGCACAGAAGGTGCTCTGTGTCCCAGCCAGGGCCACCCTGGGAGCTGCCAGGCTCCTGGGGAAGGAGGGAAGGAGCTGTGTGGGAATCAGGCTTCTCCCAGCCACAAGGGAGGGATGAGGAAGAGCCTCCATGCCTGGGCAAAATGCAGCTCCAGCAACTCTGAATAATTTTGCTTTAGTCACTGATGACTCTGATGTTTTAATGGAAGAGTCATTAGGATGGTTGAGGCTCCAGCTTGCTTTTCCAACAGTGTCTGGGCTGGGATGTTTGTTTAGACACAGAGACTCACACCATGAGCTGCCCTGTGCCAGCAGCTGGATGCATTCCAGCTGTTTTCCAGCTGCCTGCAGAGGAGGTGCCCTGTCCATGGCCTGGGGAAGGGTCCCTCACTGGGGGTGATGCCTGGAGAGGCCACCTGGAACAGTGCTGAAGGAATAAATCAGGGTTTTATTAAAAGGCCTTCACATGGTTCATGTTGGGCAGCACAAGAGCTCAGCTGTGGCTCCACCCAGGATGGACAATGAGCCACGAGTTCTCACACTTTTATAAGTTTTAGTCCATTTACATATTGGGGTTAATTATCCAATTCCAGCTCCAGGTTCTGCAGTCCCATCCTCTCAGATTGTTCTCCATAATTTGTGTTATTTGCACTTTTTGGGGCTGAAGCTGCAGCGGTGTCCTTGGTTGTGGGGCTGCAAAATGATTGTTTTGTGTGCCTGAGCTGGGAGGAGAAGTTGCCAACAATTCACATGGAGTTCAGAGTTACACCCTAACGCATTACAGAGTAAAGCTAAAACTCAAAGCCTCAGGGTGACCTGCAGAGCAGGGGACAGCCCTTCCCCTCTCCCCAGCGCCACTCAGCCCGTGCCCATTGCAGGATCTCGGTGTGTGACGAGGACAAATTCCGCCACAACGAGTTCATCGGGGAGACGCGCATCCCGCTCAAGAAACTGAAACCCAACCAGACCAAAAACTTCAACATCTGCCTGGAGAAGCAGCTGCCGGTGAGTGAAGGGCCTTCAGAGCCTCATCCCAGCCGGAATCACAGCTTCTCCCTGCGGAATGTGGGAATGTGGAGCTGTTTGGTGCCTCAAAAATAATCTGGGATGTGGGGAAGAGCATCCCTCGGGGATGGTGGGATCCCTGGGGAGGTGTGTGGCTGTGGCTGTATCCCAGCACAGCCCCCAGACTGGGTGCATTCCCTCCCCAGATAGATAAAACAGAGGACAAGTCGCTGGAGGAGCGTGGCAGGATCCTCATCTCGCTCAAGTACAGCTCTCAGAAGCAGGGGCTGCAGGTGGGCATCCTGCGCTGTGCCCACCTGGCTGCCATGGATGCCAACGGCTACTCCGACCCCTACGTCAAAATGTGAGTGCCACCCTCAGAGTGTGAGTGTCACCTTCAAAATGTGAGTGCCACCCTCAGAGTGTGAGTGTCACCTTCAAAATGTGAGTGCCACCCTCGGAGTGTGTCACCCTGAGTGTGTCACCTTCAAAATGTGAGTGTCACCCTCAGAGTGTGAGTGCCACCCTCAGAATGTGAGTGCCACCCTCAGAGTGTGTCACCCTCAAAATATGAGTGCCACCGTCAGTGTGTCACCCTCAAGATCTGTCACCCTCAGAAAGTGTCACCCTCAGAAAGTGTCACCCTCAGAATGTGTCACCCTCAGAATGTGTCACCCTCAGAATGTGTCACCCTCAAAATGTGAGTGCCACCCTCAGAAAGTGTCACCCTCAGAATGTGCCACCCTCAAATTGTGTCACCCTCAGAAAGTGTCATCCTCAGAATGAGCCACCCTCAAAATGTGTCACCCTCGGAATGTGAGTGCCACCCTCAAAATATGAGTTGTCACCCTCAGAATGTGCCACACTCAAAATGTGAGTGTCCCACTCAAAATGTGAGTGTCCCCCTCAAAATGTGTCCCCCCCAGCCTTGCAGTCCCCTCCCGCCTCTCCCCGCAGCAGGAATTAATTGCTCTCATTAGGAGATGCAAATGAGGCATCAAGCAGCAGCTTGCCTCTGCCTGCAGCGTTATTTCCCTTTCTGCAATTATTTTTGGCAGAGCTCCCAGGTGAGGTGGGCACAGGCCTTGCTGGTTTGGGGTTGTCCTCACTGGTTTGGCCCTGCCCCAACAGAGCTCCTGGGGGTTTTTTTTGGGGGGGGGGATGGCATTTTTCAAATTCACTTTTTGCAATCAAGGGGTGGCCATGGAGAGGAAGGACGCTCCTCCTTGTCCTCACTGTGCTGACTCAAATTTGGGCAATTTTAGGGATGGGATTTGCTATGGCAGAACTACTGGGAGGAGCCACACCTGGGAGACACAGTAATGGAGTTTATCAGCAGCACATTTTCACCTTCTTATTTAATTGTTTTTTAGGGGTGGAGCTGTTTGTATCAGAATCCCCTCTTGCTTTTTTAATGCCCGTGGGAGGCTCAGTCCCTGAGCAGCACAATTGCCATTGCACCCAGCCAGTTCTGGGTGTCCCCTGTGCCATCCACAGCAGATTGCATCTGCAGGGCTGGGATTAGAGCAGAGAGAAAACTGATGCTTCTTGGTACCAGCCCTAATTTTTCATCATGATCAAGATCTGGAGCGTGTAGCAAGGAAGCAGAACTGATGTTTAAAGGGGCAGCACCAGCACAAAACCACGATGGGTTGACTTTGGCCTGGCCCACATTTCAGCTCCCCTCTCTGCCTGATGACACTTTAATCTTGTTTGCTGTCCAGCTCTGGTGCTGTGCTGCAGAATATCTGCAGGGAGCAGCTCAAAGATGCTCATTCCTGCTCCCTTTTCCACACCACGTGTGCTTCCTGTCTCCTGGAAAGGATCTGCACGACAGACCAGTCACACAATCCCAGTCTGGACTGGGAGTGATGCGTTTGGAGATCATGTGTGCAGTGCCAGTGTCCCCTAGGGACTGGAGATGGGAAAATCGGTGCTCTCTGATTGCAGCTGGTTTGGTCCTAAACTGGGGAAATGCTGCCTTGTCCCAGCCTCCCCCAGCATTTGGGAAGGGGAGGAGGATCTGGAGGTTCAGGGGGCTCAGTCACCCACCTCACCCTGGCTCTGCTCAGGAGCTGCTCCTGAAGCCAGAAATGTCCCCATCCGTGTCCTGACCCATCACTGAGACCCACTGGGCTGCTCTGGTCTCCTTGCAGATACTTGAAACCAGATGAGGACAAGAAATCCAAGCACAAGACAGCAGTGAAGAAGAAAACGCTGAACCCCGAGTTCAATGAGGTGGGTTTGGGGTGGGTATGGTTCTCACCAAGGGGGTTTTCTCAACCTCAGGCTTAAAAGATAAAAAGCCACCCCCTTAGTCACTGTGTGAGGGATTTGGGGTTGGGTTCCCTGTGGGCAGCCCCAGCCCCTGTTTCATCCTGACTCTGCATCAAGATGAAAGAGGGACTGGGTGAAATCAGGATGGAATTCCTGCCTCCACAGGAGTTTTTCTATGAGATAAAGCACGGTGACCTGGCCAAGAAGACTTTAGAAGTCACCGTGTGGGACTATGATATCGGGAAATCCAACGACTTCATAGGTGAGCAGCACACTCCAGAAGGTCTCCTTGGCCTCTTTTTTATTTATCTTCCCTGTCTGTGCCGCTTATTTCTCCTGCCCTCCTCCAGCCCTCTGGTTTGTTCTCCATGCCCCCATTCATTCTCGTTGGGTTTTGGTTCTGTTTTTATCCCTCTCCTGCACCTGAGCCTCTCAAGAAGCATCCAAGCAGGGAGAAAATGCACCTGCCTCTCCCCTTCTGTTTTCAGATGTTTTCCTCTGAGTGCAAAACAGCTTTAACAGGGAGGTTTCATTTATCTCTGTTGGATGTCTGGGCTTGTTGTGATTTTGTTGTGATTTATCACTAACAAGTGCCCGGTACCTCCGACAGGCGCTGTGATTGCAGTGAGCCCTTGGCACCAGGGACAGGGGCACTGCCTGGGGCTGGGGCACTGCCTGGGGCTGGGACACTGCCTGGGACAGTCCCAAATCCCAGCCATGAGGAGCTGGGCAATTTGGGCTGGATTTCCCATCAGGTTGGATGCTGTGAGGATGCTGAATCACCCGGCTCCCTCCGGCATCCCTTCGGTATCTCTCAGCATCCCCTGCAGAGCTGCTGCTGCCCCCACACCTCTCCCTCTCTCTGTCTCCTTCCCAAGGCGGAGTCGTGTTAGGAATTAATGCCAAAGGGGAGCGGCTCAAGCACTGGTTCGACTGCCTGAAAAACAAGGACAAGAAAATCGAGCGCTGGCACACGCTGACCAACGAGCTGCCGGGCGCCGTCCTCAGCGACTGAGCCCCGCAGGGTCCCAGCTCCACAACCTTTGGGCTCCTGCCAGCTTTGGATTTGGGGGATCCCAGGCCAGCCAGGACAGCAGGACACCCCTCAGCAGGGCCTGGCTGCAGGGAAGCCTTTCCCAGGGAAGAAGGCACAGGTGGTTTGTTCTGGCGGCTTGTTCCGAACCCTTCGCGTCCTGCCGCACTCACAGCCCCACTCTCGAGCATGCATGTGCACACTCACACTCACACTCACACAGGTGTGCACCCCTGCATGCACTGCACTCTGCCTCCTCTCCCAAATCCTGCCTCTACTCAGTTTCCTTCTCGCTGCCTTGCAAGTCAGTGGCAACAATGAATGCGTCCGTCCGCGTCCGTGTGTCCGGCATCGGCAAAAGGCGTCCCCTAAAAACACTCCAAAACCTGGAACTGCCTCCTGGAGGCAGCTTGTGCCATATCTCTGGTGGTTTGTCAGTCTCTGTGGTTTGGGCCTAAACAGTCGTTTATGCATTTAAAGCTCCTCCGTTGGAATGATTGTGTCCCCGGTGAACCTGGAAAGAGTGTTAGCTTTCCTTCCAGGAATGTTGTGCTCGTCCTCTCCAGTCGCTCCCGTGAAGGCAGCAGAGCTGTGCAGATCACACTTCTCCTCCTGGGATCAGCTTCATTCACATTTGGGAGGCAAAAATGAAAAGCTCCCTGGAGCTTTCCTGCTCCCCAGGACTGGCAGCAGCTGCTTTCCTAATGAAACCATGCCATGCAGCAGCACGGCTGTTTTTCCAGCAAAGCCAGCTTTCAGGCTGAATTTTTCTATCATTTTTTCCCCTTTTTCATCCCTTTCCAATTCATCTGTTAAATAATGAAGATGCTGAGCCTCAGAGCTGAGCTGGAATTGTGTTTGCAGCTCGCCGTGGCCGTGAGGTTGATTCGTTTTCTGCCTCAAACAGCGTCCAAACCAAATAAATTTCTGTGTATGCACTGTAATATTAATATGGCACAGTAATAATATATTAATATTATAATAATCCCAGCTATCATCCTCTGTGATCCACCTTGGCTGGTCTCTTCATCCTCATCCCACCAGACATCCAGTGGGATGAGCTAAACCTTTCTAGGAAATGCTGCACCATTCCCCAGATTTTTTGAAGCCTTTAAACAAAGATTTCTTAGGAAGAGCAGCTCCTTCCCCACGAGTCTTCAGCTTCCAAGTCCTGTATTGCCAACTTCTATTTTTTTTTTTTTCCCTTGGGAAGCAATGGAATCTCTGGAAACCTACGTTTACTTTTCCAAGTGACGATTGTGTTACACTTTTATTTGATATTGGGGAGAGGGGGGAGATAAAAGGAAAAAAAAAACCAAACAACATTCATAAGGGTTTTTTTTTTATAACTTAATATTTGTAATGCATCCTGCAGATATGCATGGATTTAATTTGAATGCTGGCAGCCTGTCAAGTCGGATGTTCCCATTAATCCTTTCTGCTCCAGCACCTTAAAACCTGGATGGGCTCTGAGCTTCCAGGGACACTCCAGGAGCACCAGGTTGGCCGTGCCTCCCTTTTCTGGCAAAGTTCCTTTCAATCCATCCTTTTTTTTTTTTTCCCAGCCTATGAAACTGGTTTATGCCTGAGGTGGAGCAGGACACGTGTGTGTGGGTTCCTTCACTTTGTACCCCAGTCTTTTCTAAGTGGACACTGTCCCTCATCCCAGCTGCATGCAGAGTTGGTGGTTGTCATGCCAGGCCTCGTGAAATGTTTGATACCAATGTTTTGCTACCATGTGAAGGCTGCAGAAACCGTCCTTACCTGCATCCTGAGAGACTTTTGTATTTCAGTATTACCTATCTGTGTACTTTTGGTCAGATTTGTTAATATTTATAATGAGAACCGAAAATAAAAAGGTTAAAAAAAAAATTAAAAAGAAAAAATAGGTTGATGCTGGTGGTGCAGCTTTTGAATTTGGGGGGAGGGCAAGGATTTGGGAAGAAATTATTTCAAACCACAGCATTGGGGGCTTGGCCCAATATAGCATAAATACTATATATATATATATATATACTTATACTAAATACTATATATATATAATTCTTATAAGTATTTATAAATATATATAGGGATATATGTATATGGAGAGAGAAAATACATATATTGGGCTCAATTAAGCATAAATACTATATATATATACTTATATACTAAATATTACATATATATATAATACTTATAAGTATTTATAAATATATATATATGGGGATATATGTATATGGAGAGAGAAAATGCATATATATGGCCCAATCAAGCATATACACGAGAAGTATATATATTACAAGTATATTTATTTATGTTTAATATATATTTAGGACCCTTGAAGCCCAGCAAACTCAGGGCACGGGGAATGATGTCCAGACCCAGGTGACAAGGCCGGGCTTACAGGAAAATCCAGCTTGAAAAACACAAGGAAAAAAATATTTACTCAATTAAATGATGCTCTGTTAAGTCATCAGATTTTTTTTGTTTAAGTCACTCTTTATCCCCTCGGGAACAAAGAGCTGATTATCAAAAGCAGGAGGACAAACCCTCCAGATTAAAATAAAGCTTAAGGTATTTGAGTGCCAAGCTGCTCCGGGGCACGTCAGCCCCCTGTGCTCTATAAAGAGCCTCAGCTTTTGGGGGAGCTCACCTGTCCCAGGTGCTGCTGCCCCATGGAGAGCCCAAACAGCAGCACCCCAGGCCCTTTTGATGGCCCCCAGTGGCCACACCAGGGTCCCCGTGGCCTGTACGTGGCCGTGGCCGTGCTCATGGGGCTGGTGGTGGCCTCGGCCTCGGTGCTCAATGGCCTGGTCATCGCCGTGTCCCTCAGGCACAGGAGGCTCCGCTCGCCCCTCAACCACATCCTGGTCAACCTGGCCGTGGCCAACCTGCTGGTGACACTGTGTGGCAGCTCCGTCAGCCTCTCCAACAACATCCGCGGCTTCTTCGCCTTCGGGGAGCGCCTGTGCCAGCTGGAGGGCTTCATGGTGTCCCTCACAGGTAAGGACACGCTCCTGCCGGGCCTTTGTCACGTCCACTTGGGTCCCCGTGTGTCTGTTCAGCGTGCTAGAGACAAAGCAAGGACAGCAGCACGCACGGGCCTCCTGAGGGAAAAGTCATATTTAAATCATGTTGCCCAGAGCTAAGACAAGACAGTAGCTGTTATAAACGAGAGGGCAAAAGTCTCGATATTCAGCAAAATTTAGATTGTTTTATTTGATATAGAAAGAGCAAGCAGCGCTGGGGAACGTGAGGGGTCACCGCCCACTCCACGCTCCACCAAATCTTGGTTTGCAGCCTCTTCTTACACTGTGGTTTCTCCTTGTAATCAGTAATTTTGGGGTTTTTTGTTGTCATAAGCAGTGGTGGTTGAATAACTATCCTTGTGGATAACCACCAGAGAAGTTCTGGGAGTCTGGTCCTTGAGATAAGCAGCATTGATCAGACCAAGGCAGGAAGGGCTATTGGGAAGGCTGATTTTGCAAGCTGGTAGCCAATACAACTTATTTGGAAAATATAACATAATATAACATAACACAAAATAACAGAATATACCATAACAAGGCGATTTTAAACAGAATGATTTTATCATATAATTTCCTTTATCTAGTGTCCATGCTTCACTTCAGAGCTTAGTATTCTGGTTTATACAAACCCCAATGCTTTTGTCATTAATACGAATCTTTTATCAATTATCACAGTAGATCATTGGATAATTGGCAAAAACGTCCGTGGGACAGTACTTCAGGTGCTAATTTCAATTATGAATTCCATTCTGTTTTGACCAGATTATCCTCATGGGAGAAATTCTCCCTAACTGAAGCTGAACCAATTTATCAGCCCGGGAATGGAGCTGAGAGAGCAGGAGAAGCTCCAGCCCAAGAATGACTTTCCAGGCTGTAATTTTCCAAGTTCTCTAACAGTGTGTCCACAGTTTAGCCCAGAAATA